AAAAAAAAGTTAAACACATTTGGACAGTGAAGGAATGTCAGGGTTCTTGCTCAGAAAAAGGATCAAGCATGTTGACTTCAGAGAAAAAATTGTTTGTAACAAAATATCGATTTCTGCTGTCCCTGTATCGATACATTATTAGCAAACAAAATATCACGATACTACACAGTATCGATTTTTTCTCCCACCCCTATTGTTCTGAAAGGTCAGACTTTGAAAATGGAAACAAGTTTTGGGTCCCATACTCTCGTAATCTTTGAATTCAGGTCTTTTCTGTCCCTTTACCGCACATATGTGAACAAATGGGTCATTCTAAAGAGCTCAGTGAATTGTGGTACAGAAAGAGGATGCGACAAGAAGTCACTCTTTTGTCCTAGATCAGCTTGTAAAGCGGAAACATTTAGAAGCCACAGCAGCTTAACCACAAAGTGTCAGATCGCAGTCATTAAGTGCTGAGGCGCATAGTGTGTAAAAGCCTCTATCAGTCACTTATTGCTGACTCAATAACTAAGTTTGAAGCCTCCTCTGGCATTAACATCAGCAGAGAAATTGCACCGGGAGCTTCTTGGCATGGCTCAACAGCTCCTGTAGGTGTGATGTGTTGTTGCCCCAGTACTTTTGTCCATTTAGATTATTTCTAAGATTAAAAAAAACAGTATTGTTTATAATCCCTAATTTTATGTTATTATTATACGATGTTTGCATGCACTGGGGATGCTTTCATAATTTTTCTATAACTACAGCTCTCCGTCGTGCATAAAAATTGTAGCTGACATGGTGATTGATAATAATTTGGCCAAATAGAGAAAAAAAACATAGTATAAAACAATCTTGGGATGAAAGTGTGTCCAACAGTACATGTCCACCGTGGCTGACAAACTGTGCAGCAGTGTAATTAATTTCAATTAATTAACATAATGTATTCTGTGGTATCCACTGCTTGTGGTTTTTGTTTTTCTTTCTCTCATGAAATGAGCAGATCGAGAAAAACTTTTAAATCAGGTTGTTACCCTCGGTTGAACTGCTTGAGGATATCCACCCTCATCCTGAGATTGCTCAGAGATTGTCAGAAGCTTGTTTAGTTGTCTGACTTGTGAGTCTCCCATCAGCATTTTCAGCGAGAGCAAAGGAAGCTAAAGAGGAGGATGGTAGTGCAGTGAATGATAAAGGGTGATACAAGGGCAAACAAATTAAGCTTAGAGGGAGATAAATAAGAGTAAATGAGCAGAGACAGGTGAGACAGACAGATGGCTGTATGTTTGAAGTACTCAGACAAAGCCTCAAGCATCCCTTTATACTGCGTTATTTTCTCACCGCTCCATTTCTAGTCGAAGAAAAAGAGCTTTCCTCCTACAGATTCCCCGAGGAACCGTCATCACTGTGAGAGGGGGAGGAGGCCATCCTGCCTCCTGCACAGAGCACAAACAAACACATCCACACTTATCTTTAACATATATTGACTTTATTTTTTTCTTCTCTCTGCCTCTAGGCTATGTTACATATGCATAGAGTTTTGTTTAATGCAGAAATAGATGAGTTGGTGACACTTAACATCTTACCATGAATATGCATGATTTTTGCAATGAGCAATAAATTCGACAGATTTGATTTGGGTCATACTTGCATATTCCAGGACGAGTTTGTGCCAGTGTAAAAGCATGTGTGATGTAAACAAACCTTCACAACAGCACAATCAGATAGCATTAATCACATGGATTAGCTGTCCATTGTTAGTCCCTGATTTGAAAGACCTGCCAGTCAGTGTAAAACTGAAAAAAGTTTGTTTTTTTTCTTTAATGGTTGCATGTACTTTGCGTTTCGTTTGAGTAACACTGGATGTGCTTCATTCTCTTTCCTCTGTCCATTCAGACACCTTGTCCGTATCCAGCAATGACGCCCTGCAGCCCGGCTCCAGCCAAACGCTGGGTCCTCACAGCTCCCCAGGTCCCAAACGTCCTGGAAACACGCTAAGGAAGTGGCTGACGAGTCCGGTTCGGCGGCTCAGCTCCGGTAAAGCTGACGGCCACGTCAAAAAGCTCGCCCACAAGCATAAGAAGAACCGCGATGGCACGAGGAAGAACATGGACGCGATGCCCGGCTCGCAGAAGGACTCTGACGACAGCGCCGCCACTCCACAAGATGAGACCCTGGAAGAAGTAAGACGACGCACCGTAATGCTGAATAACGGTGACCATATCTGACTCTGAACTACCACTTGTTCTTTATTCCTCTCCAGCGTATGCGCAATGAAGGGCTGAGCAGCGGCACCCTGTCCAAGTCTTCCTCATCGGGCATGCAGAGCTGCGGTGAGGAGGAAGGAGAAGAGGGGGCGGACGCTGTCCCGCTGCCTCCCCCAATGGCCATCCAGCAACACAGCCTGCTTCAGCCCGACTCTCAGGATGACAAGGTGGGGACATGCAGAGCAATCGAGACGCAGTCATAAATATATGATGTACACACAACAGCTCATCATGTGCATCAGCAAGAGAGACAGTAAGATAGATTGAACAGCATAAAGTGGACATATATTTGAGCTTTTTCTTTGTTTATTTCTGTTTGTATTTGTTCTGTTATTAATCCACATGACTCATAGGCAGCAAGGTTTTTAACTTGCTCCTCCACTCACAGCTTAAAATAACAGCTTAACTTTATTTTGGCACTAATAACTCTGCCTGTTTTCTCCTATTTTCATAATGGTTGCATGTTCCCTCCTTCAGCATTATGTTGATTTCTGTTCTGCTTCTCTTCTGTCCCAGTTTCCCTATCTGTCCATGTGAAACCCTCTAAATGATCCTATTTAGATTTTTCCTTTCTTGTCTAATTAAATTCCCTCTGCATGTTTTTTCTTCTTTATTTCTTCTTTTTTTGCTGAAGTGAATCCATTTACATGTCTTTGCAGTAGCAAAATGTCTGTGACATTAAATGGTTGTGCATTGTGGATCGTTTAAATCTCGCCCTGCCCTTTGTGCCTCCGACTAAGCTCTGAGGCAAACTTTCTGTCCAATGGAGTATTTTTTCGACCAATTATGGCGCGTGTGCTTGAAGAGCACTCCAATCACAGTTTCCCCCTGACCCAAACCCACCTCGTAACCCCTGTTTTCCCAAGAATATAGTCTGTGATTGGCTCCAAGTTGGCTCCCAATTAACCCTTTTATTAGGGAGATCACACAAACCAAGTCTTTATTTGGACATGTGGAATATCGAGGTCCAAATCACGACAATGGTGAGCTCAAGTCTCTAAGAATGTATGACTCCTGTATGCATACAACACCTAAAAGTTCTCCATTCACAGTGTCTTGAAGATTAACCGTTAGTTTTCTTTATTCCTTCCATTTCTTCTCTCTCTTTCAGTCTGCATCTCGGCTGTCTGGCCGTCCCAGTAGCTCAGAGACACCCAGTGCGGCTGAACTGGTCAGTGCCATCGAAGAACTGGTGAAGAGCAAGATGGTGAGATGGATTTCATAAACACTCACAAATACTTGCAAATGAGGCCCACTTGCACACAGAACAATTTTAATAGATGTAGATACAAGCGCACGCTTTCTTTCTGGTGTTAGTGACAGAGAATGGCATCATTGCCAGCAAGTCATCTGTCAAAACTGTGACTAACTATCCCAGCTGTCCTCTGTTCCAACAAATGGGCACTGCACGCTGGCGAATATCCCCAGTATACTCATGCAGACTGGCCTCCACGTATATTATGCTTCATTTCGATAAAGATAAGTAAGTGGAACATATTTTTCTTCCTCTTAATTTCTTAATTCTTTAATTCAGTCACTGGAAGACCGTCCCAGTTCTCTGTTGGTGGAGCAAGGTGACAGCAGCTCTCCCTCTCTCAATCCCTCCGACAACTCCCTCCTCTCCTCCTCCTCACCCATCGACGAGGTGGACGAGCGCAAATCTGGCTTCCTCAAGAGAAGACAGTGAGTTATAAGTCCTGTTGGTGTTTTTATAAATAAAAGCTGCTTGAACCCAGACAGTAAATGATGTTTGTCCTCATTCGTGTGCTTATATGGAGCATTTCTGATATTCATCCACAGCTGAGCGTTGCAGTCGTCTTACGTGACAATTTCTGTGTGTTCTTTCTCTCAGTTATGTACTTCTGGAGCTGGTGGAGACTGAGAGAGATTATGTCAGAGACCTGGGATCAGTGGTGGAGGTAAGAAAAGAAGACAATCTGGATAAATAAATTTTCGGACATAGTTGTTGGTCAGCGTTTGCTTGTGCTTCTTACACTTTGGGTGGCTCTTTCTTTCAGGGCTACATGAGCAGAATGAAAGAGGAAGGAGTTCCAGATGACATGAAAGGAAAAGACAAGATTGTTTTTGGAAACATCCATCAGATCTATGACTGGCACAAAGAGTACGCTGGCAGAATCCTTCAGCTGTAGTACCTGCCCCTGCTTCAGGGCATATGCAGCATTATACAAAGAAAATGTCAACATTTTGACTGTTTCTTGGCAGGTTAAATCACATGTCTGTATCCATTCACAGTTTTTTCCTGGGAGAACTTGAAAAGTGTTTGGAGGATCCTGACCGGCTGGGACCGTTATTTGTCAAACAAGTAAGAAATGCACTAGTTTTGCAGCATGATTTTGTTAAAGAGGGTATTACATGTTCTTATCTGTAATATTCTTTTCTGTTTTTGTTGCAAATACAGGAACGGAGACTGCACATGTATATTGTGTACTGCCAAAACAAGCCTAAGTCTGAGCACATCGTGTCGGAGTATATTGATACGTACTTTGAGGTAAGATTGTTTAATCATTTTGCACCTCATAGCCACAGCATGCTATCTGTATTGTATTGTCCGTGTCATGAGTCAGGTCCCGGACATGATAGATTTTTATTTTTCTTCAGGACCTGAAGCAGCGACTGGGACACAGACTGCAACTCACTGACTTACTCATCAAACCTGTCCAGCGCATAATGAAGTACCAACTGCTACTGAAGGTAAATCTTTTTCTGTACAACATAAATTATGATCAACGCAGTATGAATTTCTCTCCTTACCTCTGTTAACTTCTTCACAGGATCTTCTTAAAATTTCTAAGAAGGCTGGAGTGGATGCCACAGAGCTGGAGGTACAATCGAGAAAAAGCCCAGGATTCAGCACAAAACTAATGAAGCAATAATAATCTGTTGTGTTTTCCAATGAATGCTGTGAAAGTATCATAACTAGATAAGTAGTTTTTAACTTTTTTTTTCTCTCGTGTTCTTCCACAGAAAGCTGTAGAAGTGATGTGCGTGGTCCCCAAACGCTGCAATGACATGATGAATGTTGGGCGCCTTCAAGGCTTTGATGTAAGTCTCCCTTTGGTACCTCTGATAGTGTGTGAATGTTTCCAAAATACATAATACAATAGAGTAAATGCTTGTCTTGCTTCAGGCAACTGCCACTAGGTGTCAGTGTGCACTTGTTTTTGCAGCTCTAGTTTGTTGTCGGATTTTGTGTGTTTTCATTTTTTCTAATAACTTATCCAAAATAAAACTAGTTAAGAAAACTCCTTCACCATCTAGAACTTTCTTTGGATTGCCTGTTTGTTTCTCAGGGTAAAATTGTGGCTCAGGGCAGATTGCTTCTCCAAGACACTTTCATGGTTTCAGACCAGGACGGAGGGCTCCTATCCAGGATGAAAGAGAGGAGAGTGTTTCTGTTTGAGCAGATAGTTATCTTCAGTGAACCCCTGGACAAAAAGAAGGGCTTCTCTACTCCTGGCTACCTCTTCAAGAACAGCATTAAGGTGAATACAGCTCACTTAAATAGCTTTGAGACCAACTGTGGACTTACTTTGGATTGTCCCTATTGATCATGAAGCTAAACCTGCTCTATTTTATTTCATATCTATATATTTTTTCTTATCTTTGTCTCTTTACCCTTGCCTGCCACATAACTTCAGGTGAGCTGGTTGGGTCTAGAAGAAAATGCTGATGACCCCTGCAAGTTCACACTGACCTCCAGGTCATCTAGTGGCAACCTGGAGAGGTACACTTTCCATTCACCAAGTCCTGGAGTCAGTCAAGTCTGGATCCATCAGGTCAGCCAGATCCTGGAGAATCAGAGAAATTTCCTCAATGGTAAGAAATTGTTGTGAATACTGTAACACACAAAATTAAATTTTTACATAAAACATTTTGACACTCTTGGTCCTTTTAGTTTAAGAGGGCTATTAAGTTGTTAAAAAAAAACCCTCTTGTCTGCTCCCACAGCTTTGACGTCACCTATAGAGTATCAGAGGAACCATGTGGGAGGTGGTGGGCCAAGCGGTCCACCTAGCAGCAGCAGTACTGCAGGTCTACCAGGAGGCAGCAGCTCCAACAGTACCTGCAATATGGGGGGAGGAGGTGGCGGCGAAGGCAGCTCTGGAGGATCAGGGGGTAGCGCCTCCTCCCTGTGCGGCCCGCGCTCCCGACCATCTCGCATCCCCCAGCCGTCCTCACGCCTCCCCCAGCCTGTTCACCACCATCACCCCCCGGGCCCAGAGGGTCCCGACAGATCAGCAGGTATGTGGTCACTCTGCCACCCACAGCCGCTTCAGTCCCTCTCCTCTAACCCCCGTTCAGGCAACACAGCTAATGGAGAGCTGTTAGCCTCAGAGGTCCCTAAGATGAGGATGCTGGATAGTCCTCATGGAAGTAACAGTAATAACAGTAACAGGCCATCAGGTAGTATGGACAGCAGTGTCAGACAGGTTCTCGGAGGCTCAGAGGAAATGCCGAAGCATCAAATGGCCAGCAGACCACAGATGCCAGTAGCTCCTCTGAATTTTCATCTCAAAAGCCCTCGAGTTGGGACAGTTTCACCTCTGATATTACCTCAAACTCCCGGAGGAGGAGGAGGAAAGGAAGCGTTCGTCCCCACCAGCCCAGCTCATAAAGGCAACGCTTTCTGGGCCATAGTCCCCGCTCTGCCTCCCTCTCCTGCCAGCAGGCCAGGTTCCTTCTCCTACCCCAGTGACAATGGTGGCAGTGGAGGCGACTCTCTGGGCAGAGGAAGTCACGGGACTCCCTCTCATCACCGCCACTCCAGCCACAGTAAGGACATAGATCGCATGAGCACCTGCTCCTCCACCAGCGAGCAGTCCATACACTCCACCCAGAGCAACGGGGTAAGATGCCAAGTCGAGGCCCAGGCTTCAGCGAGGCCTAGAGTACTTACTAGTCACTAACCTCACCCTTAGTGGCTGCCTGTCTGCCAGTCAGTCAACCTGCCGCTGGCTCTGAGAATGGCTTTTAAATTCAACAACTACTACTGCTGCTGAAACACTTGAATGACTGAAGAATAACACCTATCTGAGTGCACTAACTTCACCGACAGTGTGTGTGAGGGAGAATTTTTGCCTTTCCGGAAACTACTAACAGTGTGGATCTGAGTCACAGAGAAACTTGTATCTGCTTTTCAAGACTCTCTCTGAGCTTCAGTACGCATTTGCTTTCCAACTGTAGCTACTAAACATTAACAAGTGCCATTTCAAAAACATGTTATCTCTTTTTTCCGTTAGCTGATAACTTCCAATCTCCTTTCAAAAGCTATGGGACGTTTTTTTTTTCTTTGTTTTTTGAAAACATTAGCACATTTCAAAAAAGCTGTTTCTTTTCTGGTAAGATGGTTTCTCACTTCACAGAGATTAACCTTATGATTGCACAAACAGCGTTTCGTTTTCCGCAACCTGCCTTGTTTGTTTGACAGTACCAACAGAATTTCTTTTTGAAATGGCTTTTTATCTGGTGAGATGGTTTCTCACCTCACAAAGGCTAAAAGCTTGTTTGCACAACCTGCCCTGTTTGTTTCAAAGTGTCTTCAGCACCTCTTCTTGAAAACTCGTCTTTGTCTTTGAAAACATAAAGTTCCTCATTTCATCATCCCTGCCCGGGGGGATCATAAGCTCTGTGCTTTTGTAACTTCTCAGTCTAACTTGTCAGCCCGTTGCTCTAAATACAAACAAGTGCTTTTTCAAAAAAAGAAGAAAAAAAAAAGCATTTTGCACTGCATGCGTTCAACATATTCTCAATTTCATTTTTATACATGTTCCCTGCAATCAAACTATCCATTTGATTGGTGTGAAGTAACATTTCCCTTTTAGACATATGTGCATTTATGTATTTTCATGTGTGTTAATGTGTGCAGTAACTCATGATTTAATGTGTTCTCCTCCTGACAGAGTGAAAGCAGTAGTAGCAGCAGCAGCGTGTCCACCATGCTGGTGACTCAGGATTATGTGGCAGTGAAGGAGGATGAGATCAGTGTGGTGCAGGGTGAGGTGGTCCAAATGCTAGCAAGCAACCAGCAGAACATGTTCCTGGTGTACCGGGCAGCCAATGAGCACTGCCCTGCGGCTGAGGGCTGGATCCCTGGCTACGTGTTAGGACACACTTCATCCTCAGTCACACCCGAGCTCTCCGAAGGCACCATAAAGTAAGCATAAGCAGCCTTCCTTCCTTTTTAGGTTGCCACAGAAAACACGACAGTCATAGTGATTACGATTATGCAATCGTGAAACCTGAAACTTCTCGATTTTTGTTCTTGCGTTTGTTTAGAAAGTCATTATCGTGGCACACAGCACTGCGCATTCGCCGGAAGTCTGAGAAAAGAGACAAGGAGGGCAGGAAAATTGAGAACGGCTACCGAAAGTCTCAGGACAGCCTGGCCAACAAAGTCTCTGTCAAGGTAGAAAAGTGTCACGTTAGACGCCACCCCACCGACATCCACTGCAATTTGTGCAAGAAATCTAATTATGTCTTCAAATTGTCATTTCAGCTTCTGAATCCCAACTTTATCTATGAAGGTACGTGCACGTTGTTGCTTCAGCCAAGGAGCAAATCTTTCCTTGCATTTGGAATAAAAATTCAAAAAGATAAACAATAAGCTTCACTGGGTTTTTGTTGTTGTTGTTGTTTTTAGGTCCCCCAGAGTTCCTCATTCCAGTTAGTGATGCAACATGTGAGAGTGGCGATGCAGTTACTCTGAGGTGTAAAGTTTGCGGTCGCCCCCGACCAACCATCACTTGGCGTGGCCCTGACAACAACTCTCTGAGCAACAACGGACAATACAGCATGACCTACAGGTGTGGGGGGGCTCACTTGAATTTCTTTTATTGATTTTTAGCTAGAAAAATCCAAATCTTACATTAGCCTGTGACGTAAAGGTGCAGATGTGCTGCTAACAAACTCAGTTAACACATTCATGTTGTTAAAAAAGAATATGAAGTCATAATAAATAACTGTGTGCAAATTACAGTATCAGTTTGTGAATTTCACTTAATGCTTTGTTTCCTTTCATTCTCCATTTCTGCAGTGAGACCGGAGAGGCGTCCCTGTGCATCACGGACGCGTCTGTAGAGGACAGCGGCGTGTATACCTGTGTTGCTACAAACATAGCAGGCGCTGTCACCTCCTCTGCCAGTCTTAGAGTGTCAGGTCAGAGTCCTGTCATTGTGTATGTCTCTTGATATTATGCCACGCAGGTGTTTGAAACATTTAAAACATTGATTTTATAATTTTTAAATTTGATACTTGAATCATTGTGAATTCACTGTGTTGTCTCAGGAACCCCTGATGATGGCAGCGAACTCCTCTGGAAAAACAGCTTTGAGTCCCAGTACACAGAAATTACTGAACTAGGAAGGTGTGTTTTCCTGTCACGCAGTGCTTCTCGACCACATCAAAGCTAATAAATTAGGAGCAGCACTCATATATATAGTAGTAGTAGTAATAGCAGTAGCGACAGATGATACAAGTGAAGGTATTTAAATGAGGAATGAGTTGCTTATTCCTCAGTAGCTGGTTAGAGAATGCAGTAATATTCAAATCATTTAACACAATTTGTGACTGCATTCACAAATACAAGTTCAAACTTTACTAAGCAATGAGAAATGACATTTTCAGAAAGTGTCACAAGCTTTTTTGGAAATGAGGTTGTACATTGGACAAGCTGATACAGATAATCAACAAAGAAGTAGATTGACATTATACATCCAAGTCCACCAGTCATGATTGGGCGTTATAGTTTATAAATTTGATGTAGGATATTTTTAAAAAGTGAGTCACAAATGAAATGTCTTATTCCTAACTACTAATTTTTGCCTTGCAGGGGTCGGTTCTCGGTGACTAAGCGATGCGACCAGAGAGGGAGTAAACGCACAGTTGCAGCAAAGCATGTTAACAAGAAGCTGTTGCGTCGAGAACAGGTCCTGCAGGAGATCAGACTCCTCCAGAATCTAGACCATCCCAATCTGGTCAAGCTGCTAGACACGTTTGAGACAGCCAGCAGCTACGTACTGGTACTAGAGATGTAAGTAAAACGACTGTGACATCTGATCTGTTTGAAAAACATACTTAGATTTGTCTCTAAAAAAAAGAAAGAAATAAAATGCATGTTGTGTTTGTGTTATCAGGGCAGACCAGGGGCGATTCCTGGACTACATCGTGAGCTGGGGCAACCTGACGGAGGAGAAAGTTGCTTTATACCTCAGAGATATTCTTGAAGCTCTCCATTACCTGCACAGCTGGAGGATAGCACATCTTGACCTCAAAGTAAACAGTTCAACAAACAAAGCATTACAATCTAAATCTTTTTTTGGGCAAGCTGTTGCACTGCTGTTGTGCTTCTCTAGGTCTGATGATTGTGTCCTATATCCTCCTATCCTGCTCCTACAGCCTGAAAACATTGTGGTGGAACATGCGTCCTCCCAGCCAGTGATCAAGCTGACAGACTTTGGTGATGCTGTTCAACTGAACCCCCCCTCCTCTTACATCCATCCTCTTCTGGGAAGCCCAGAGTTCTCTGCTCCTGAACTGATCCTGGGTCAGCCCGTCTCACTGACGTCTGACCTCTGGAGCTTAGGTCTGTAGAGAAATTGTATCTTGCTGATTTTTGCATTAGAGAACCCTTTATGTACTCGAATACACAATCACAGCAGCAGAAACCCACTGTAATAGTATTAAATACACATTCCTTTGTTTTTATTTGTCAGTATGTGCAAAAGGCTGCTTATTGATATTTGACTAAGACACAAAAATAGACAGAAATACTCCCATGCGATACTATCATCTCAATCTCTAAGCCAGGTGCGTTAACACAAGTGTTTCCTCTGCAGTGCAGTCAGTCAGCCTCTCTGGGGATGCAAAGTTCAGTGATTTAAATCCCCAGTCGCAATTTCTACTTGCCAACCGCGCAGCAATCTATTAACTGACTTCAATATTTTGAAGCTTCAAGTGATATTTTACTGCTATGTATGTAGATGATGAGTTTCATCCAAAAAATGTATATATTAGTACAGCGTAAGGGAGTGCAGTGTAAAATGAATGATTCAGTTCAGTTTTGTTTATATGCCATTTATAGGCTTTTTTGTGTTGTAAGGTAAAGACCCTACAATAATGCAGTGAAAGCCTCAACAAGCAGGCAAATTATCTAACAGAGGATTGTTATTGTTGTAGTCTTGGTGCTATAATATTTTAGCAGCTGCAGAAGCTGCTTTTGTGCATGATTGTTTAATATAAAGCTATATTAATTATCAAAGGGGATTTAAAAGTGAGCTGAATGAGTTAATTTAATTTGGCTAAATAACCTGTTGATTGACCAACTGGTTGATTTACAGGGGTGGTGACCTATGTGGTTCTGAGCGGCGCCTCTCCATTCCTGGACGAGAGCCTTGAGGAGACGTGTCTGAACATCTGTCGCCTGGACTTTAGCTTCCCTGAGGATTACTTCCAGGGTGTGAGCCCAGCTGCCAGAGACTTCATCTGCCTGCTGCTCCGGGGCGAGCCAGAGCGACGGCCCCCTGCTGCGTCCTGCCTGGAGGAGCCCTGGCTCCAGCCTCGAGGTTTATCAAGCAGTGACTCAACCTTAAATCCCACACAGCCACCAGCACTGTCACCATCTCGGAATCATTGCGGCACACATCTGGACACATCCAGGCTCATTTCTTTCATCGAGAGACGGAAACACCAGAATGATGTCCGGCCCATAGGCACCATTAAGGCCTTCCTTCACAGCCGCCTGCTCAGCCAGACCTGACAGTAGGTCACCAGGTAAACACGACCAGAAGGAATTTCTTCCACTACTGCTCTTCATTCACTTGATCCTTGTTAGAAGCCTACTGAGAGCACCACCAGCGACACGCCTGCTACAATCCCCTTTTCCCTCACAAAGCCACAAAAGTCCTGCTGCTGCTGCTGCTGCTGCCGACTGACTAACCTCTGCAGATTAAACCCTTCGAACCCCCAAGCCCTTCCCCTCCTTAAACCTGGCATACCGTCACTATGCCTGCACAACAAGCGAACTCTTGGAATCCATTTGAGATTTCAAAACCTTGACTCAGCAGGGAGAAAACCAAGCTTTCTCAACAAGCCAGCGTGAGCGAGTCTTGCGTTTCGGACAGTGTTAAACAAAGAAAAAAAAAAAAGAAGAATACTGTACAATAGGAATATTTCAGGCTGCTTTCGGTTGAACACAAGAAAATGTTTTTTTGTAACGAGAGATTACTTTTTGTAAATGAAACAAAATGTACAGCGAGGAGACGGAGAACTGTCTTTATTCATAACCTTTTGGAAAACAAAGGGTAGTTGGCGAGTAGAAAAAGTAAAAAACGAAAAAAAAAAAAAAAGGGAAGTGAGATTTGCGTGGTGAAGTGGCACCCATCAGCAGGGTCCTCTTATTCTGGAACAAGATGTAACTACCAAAACCACGTTTTGCAGAAACTTACATTCAGTGCAATAGTTTGCTTTTCTTAACTCTCCCCCGCTTCAGTTTCAAAGGTTAAATCACTTCTGTTTGTGACACTAAGAGAAACTAACTTGAACAAAGCATTAAAACAACTCAGCAAAAAAGAATATCCCGATAGAGCTTCTCAGATTTTTACCTGCATCCGCCTTATATGTAAATAACGTTTTTCCCGCTTTTCGTTCTCATTTTGACGGATTTATCTCTCGACGAACAAAAACGATTCCATCTGCTGAGTTTTAGTGAGTCCCTGCGGACGGACGGATCAAACCGCTACTAGGTTCCCACGTGCAATGTCGCAGCTTTAACATTTATGCAACTATTTATGAAAACTTGTGTTGTAGCCGTATTCTTAAAAAGGCATGTACGTACCTGGTACTGCAATAGATGTATGTATTGTGTTAACTCTTATGTATTAAGTTCAGTATTAATATCCTGCAAAAAACAACAAAAAAACAACAACAACAACAACAACAACAACCCTGCAACAAAAGGAGAGTTTTTCCAAAATAATGTATAAAAATGTGTATCTATGAAATATAGGCACTTATGCTTTTATGTCGTCCTTGTTTCGCTTTTGTTTTTTTTGTAACAATACCAAAGTTGGCTCTGCTTTGTTCTCCAGCTAATATGTTTGTTTGCTTTTTTAATGACTTGTCATGTTGAGTTATAACAGACCACACTGAGCAGAGGCATATGAGCGTTTACAAAGGTTCCTTGTGGTTTTATTTATTCTTATTGTAATAAGAAGATTGTTTGGTGGTTTATTGCTGAAAAAAATTATATTGACTTGTCTTTTTTTATCATTATTTCTTTTCTTTTTTGTTTTTTTCAAGCCGTGCACAAAGTTATTTGCCGTGTGAGTTTGTTTGGCTCTTGTAGGTAGATACTAGTGTATGTTGCTAGACCGTATTGGTTTATATCTTCACCAAGCAATAGGTCTGGGGTGAAAAAGTCACCATGGACTGCACTGATGAAAGAATCATACCTTCTGGCAGATAATAACAACCCCTGAACCACAGTTTTTTCTGATTAGCATTAACAGGTATCTCCCGTGAAAAAGGTCTGCCAGTTGTTTTCATTTAAATACGATGACGTCTTTAGGTTAAAAAGTTGCTTAAAAACGTCTTTAAAGTGCCAGTCCAGTGAATTAAGTTCGAGAGGTTGGTAAAAATGAAAAACTCGCGTCGCTTCTCGTTTTATTTGAAGGTTGTCAGTTGCTGTCGATAACATGTTGAGTTTATTGACTTGTCTCTCTGGTCTGTAAAGTCTCCGTCTTTCATTTTGTGTCATTTTTATTTATTAATGTGGATAAGGGTTTCCCTGAAACTATCCTGATCATCGCTTTGTCAGGTTACGATCGAAGAGAAACGGTTTCTTGGGAAACCTGCCTGCTCACGATGTAAAGATGTACAGAGAAGGGTCGGGCAGTTCACCCACACCCGGGATGTAAACCTCACAACTGTCATATTTTAAATACACCTAAAACAAGACTGCGGAAATGTCATCTTGAATGTCTTAGTATGACTTATTTTTACTTTTGCATGTATATTTCTTTGTACAGAAGATTGTGTTTACATGTTACTACGTGTTGTAAATAACTTATTTTGTCCTCTGTTATTTTGCCATTAAACGTACAAGGCACAGTCAGCGTTACTGAAACTTTTGTGCGCATATATTCATTCATCTCCACCCCCATGAGAATGTCTGTTATTATTATTCATTCATGATTTCCCATAAGCTTTTGAGGGCTGGAGGGTGAGATAAATCTGTATTCCCGGCATGATTAGAAAGCAGGGGAAAACCCTTAATTCACATGGCTGCAATCAGTCATTCATTAAAATTATTAAACACAAGAAACCCAACTAACCGCAGCCATGTTAAGCCTTGCATTAGAGGGGATTGTTGTTTGCGATAGCGTAACACCTTTGACACGTTTTTCTTTACTTTTTATTTTCATATGAAGAGTGACATTTGGAAGCACTGCGGGGAAACAATGAAAAGCAAAGTGAGAATATTAAAATCAGGAGGAAGATACGTGTACAGTAATAGTGAACGAATGTCATTACTGTGATGAAGATCAGTTCGAGAGATAAACTATGAGAAGGTATCAGGAAGGGGACTGTTGCTGATCTTATCAGTCCGGAGCAGATGCCGCTGCTGTTTTTGAATCAGTGCAAGCAGTGTGTGTTGCATCACTGCACAAAGAACGCACGATTTTACCTCCCACTCAACCCACGTCCGCTACAATAGTTACTCACTGAGGTCTGCTAGAGAACATTTTTTGCAGCATTTTAAACCCTGGTATCTACGCATGAGCGTTATCAGCCTGGAGTGTTTGTCATCTAAGCCCCATTCGAGGTTATTTACTTCACCTGACGCACCTGTGTCTCTGTTCTGAAAGCGGCGCTTTCACCCAGTGCCTGAAAGGTGCCTGTGCACTTATCGAGTGTGAAATCTATTTCGTTTTTCTTAGCAACAGTTTTTGTTTTTATTTTTTGCATGAAACCACAGAAGGGGTATCTTTACAATCTTTACACAAAATCTTGTGATCAAAATCTCACGCAAGAGCTGTGAAGTGTGAAGGTGATGCACGCCAGCGCAGTTTTTTTTTCTGTTCTACAAACTTGATTTGACCTGTGACCAAATACTGTGTTGTTTATTCATTTTAATTATTCGGGTACTGCTTTACTTTAAGCCCACACGTTTAACTCGACACAAATACCTAATATGCGATTATGCGCATTTCTTGACAGCCCGATATTTCCCAGTTTTGCGCCTTCTCACCCACTGTTGCTTCTGGGCATTTTCCACCCACTGAATTCAGCATTCACTCATATGGGGAGAGTCCTGTCTGGCTGTAGTTTAAAACCAAAAGCAAACGTGAGTCAGAGAAAGAGATATCAAATACTTAGAAAGTTCACACTGATGAGGAGAATAATGACGTGATTGTGGCCCACACACTAACGGGACGGGACGCGAGTTGCAAGCCTGTAAACAAGAACACTCCTACTATCTAACCACAATCAGGAGACAAGAGACCACTAGATGGCATCGGAGATCTTGGTTTCAAGAAAGTGCCGATAGCGGAACACATCGTGTGCAAAACAACCTGCAGAGCATCAACTTACAGACGTTATTAAAGAACCACCGGCAAATTTGATTGGCCAAGCTCGAAACAGAAAGTACTGCAGTCTGGAGAAGAACAACAGAAACAGCACGTAGTGTTGAAAGGGGTTTGAAGGAGATAACAGAACTGTGTGTTATTAAAAGGTTAAATGTGCAATGCACTGCTGAAACACTGTTGAACCTACAGAGGGTAAATTCCCTCTGTAGGTTCACTAGAGTTTTGTGTGTTTAGCAGAGGTGGTTCCCATGTAGTGAGAATTGGGCAGTTGAGTCACGCTCTCTGCTACAGGCCAGGCAGTTCACATGAAACTCGCTGGCCCAGTTTCCACATTTAAAGTGGTGAGAGCAAAAACAGGCGAATGTGAAAATATGAGTTTTATATCATATGTTATATCGTACTGGTATTTCACGCTGCGTGGCAACCAGTAGGAACAAGTACTGACATCACAGCCCCAACTCTCACATATCTGTTTACCATCTTTCTCACTTGACCCTTTGTCCTTTTTTTGTAACTGTACTGTGAGAACATGACGATAAGGGGAAAACACATGACACATCACAAAGTCTCCCTAAGTCCACTGTTTTTGGAATATGACTTTCATTTTGATGTCTTTAATAGATGGCATCAAATCTTTGGACTTCTTTCATGGCTGTGATGCTTCCACATTGATAAAAATCTGCCAGCAAACCTGCAGACCTGCCGCTGAACCTTTTTACACTAGAGGTCTCCACAAGTGTATTTTAGTTTGACGCCCCCTCCCCCGACACACACACATGCTAAGAGGAAGGGGGGAGGAGAGAGATCATAACTTGAACTCACCCAATCAGGGTTAAGAACACATAACTTGTCAATACATTAAAAATGGATGCAACACAAATGCAACAACAACAACAGCTTTTTCAAGTTTTTCAAGTCATGAGCGCCAAGCTGAAGTAAAGTCGAGTCATTTATCAGTTAAGCCCACAGATCAGTATCTGAAGTCTGGCATGAGTCAATCCACGTGAGCGGTTGAGTTATAGAGTGAAAGGAAGACTTCACTTTTAATCATTTCAGCATTGCAGGGAAAGCATTTTCCGAGTAGTTAGTGTGAAACTTTCCCCCAGAGCTTGTCAGAGCTGCTGCTTTATCGCTGCATTCTCCAGACTTGTGTACAACAAGAAGTAGTTCAGCTGTTGACATCTGGAATGCATTTAAGACACGCTTTCAGTCCTCTGCTCTACTAACCTGGGTAATTTGGGGGGCTAATAATGTTTTTTATGTTTGCTTGTTTCTTCTTTCTCATTAGTACTGCAGTGGGAATAATTGTTCAGCTTTTGTGTTTTTATATCGCAGACAGTTGTCAGACTGTTTACTTGCAGGTTGTTTTTCCGTTTCCTTGCCTAAACAGCCTTATCTGGTGAGATGCTTCTGTACTGCCTCAGCAGTTCTTTGACCACAGAAACCAAATGTTTGTGCCAACCCTAAAACTGCTTACAGCCGTGCAGCACCTTCAGATCATGCTTTACAGCTCTGTAGGATGCTGCAACATCCATTAACTCCTTACACTCCCGTTTAGTTAGATCACAGTATATATAGTTTGTTTTACAGGGGCTTTTCCTGATGGTAGATACACGTCAAAGTGGTCTTCGGGAAGGTCAGTAACTACAATTTTGGATTCATCCACCCAGAACAAAAAGCCCCAATTTGTGCCAGTAATCGTCTTTTTGCACAGCAAATGTTTCTCCCTGGCACGCTTTTGATTCAGACCAAATTTGTGCTTTCTGAAAATAAACACGTTCACTTTGACTCTTTTTGCATCAGATGTTTTCTTCCTGGGCTGGAATTTTTTCATTTGAAATCTACATGTTGATGATGATGATAATGATGATGATGAAGATGATGCTCGCCATTGTTTTGAGCATCTTAAGAACTCCATTGTCTTGGGACTCAAACAGCAGACACTAAATGTCAGCGGTCTAAATAAGGCAGGTTTCACCTAACACTTTCTGAGGAAGCAGTAATCATCAATCTACATCTATAGACAGGGTCAAGCCTGCCCCTCCTCTCAGTTTAGGGTTTCCACTTCCTCAGTACACTGTGTTCTCAGTAGTTTAAGAGCAAGCTCTTTAAAAAGAAAAAAACAGAAGCAGATTGTGTTATTAAGGGATGGGCGTATTCTGTCACTTTCCTCAAGAGTCGACATAACTGGGTTTCCCAAGAATGGACTCAGTGCTCCACTCCGACTTTCTGCTAGACTAACAGAAATAATGTTTTAGCTCATATCGCTCCACATAGACAATGGTATAATGCACAAAAAAGGATTTTTTAGATTTAAAAAATGGTATATGATGGGTAGCTACATGCTTCTTTTCAAAATATAGTAAAATTGAATATATATGTAAATCAACGAAAGAAAATGATGACGCCAGGAAGTTACAAGAAATGTGTGGCTAATTTATCAGATGAAAAACGTGAGTGCCTGTAAAGCAAACAGCTTCACTGACCGAAACCAGATGAATCGTACAGTTTATTACAGGAACAATAACACCTCTCTACTCTACAGTAACATGCATATCAAAGTTGGTTTGTTAGTCAGTGCAGATACTCCTTATTTTGTGGAAGCACTTAAAGCAAAAGGTAAAAATAGTGAAAAGAGGCAACTGCGGTTAGATTGGATCTGTCACACCTTTTCACCATACACACTCATTCGTGTCACAGGGATGCCGCACTTACCATAGAAATATAACAGCTTTATTCTGTATTGTCAGCTGATTACAAACACCTTTTTTAAACATGCATGAGAAAATACAACACAAAGACTGATCAAACATTTAAATTACCCCAAAAACCGAATCGGAATTCTTGTGGCTCCAATGACTGGACTCATTTGACAGAAACCAGAAATGTTTATGTTACAAAAACTATCAAAAAACTGGAAACTGAAGCAAAGATGGAAAAAAAAAAAACATCAGCGGAATTATAGGTGAAAAGATAGAACCAAGCTTTATCAGACAATTCAGGGACTCCTTATGACTGTTTTCCTGGAAAAGGGGGGTGGGGGTAATAATATCATAATAGTAATAATGATATCAATTCATATGAGAACAACTTTCTATTGATTCAGAGCTCCCCTTCTCTAAGAGGATCCAGTAAAATGCAGCCTGGAATTTTTGCGATTTTTCCTGTAATTTGTCATCCATCCGGGCATTGAAACAAAGAAGCTGAAAGAGGAACTGTCTGCATGCCCATCGATAAACTCTTGTAAAAAGGGACTTCTTTCTTGCAATCCTGATTAATATCACGAGAAAAACCAGCAGAACTATGAAGTCACTTGATAACAAACGGCTCGGATGTGCACAAAGACTGCAAAGGTTAAACTAACAGCTTGGTTTCATGCTTCCTCTTTCAGGTTGTGGTTTTCTCTGTGTTGGGTAAAGTGCAAATGTTCTGCTAATGATGCTAGGCAACCTACACTGCTGAATCTGCAAAGTTGCACTGAACACGATTTCCTGTGCGCAGACTGATGCAACGGGTACAACTGTGAGGGGGGTCATCGTGTTTGGATAAAAATGTAGGCTACTATGACATGTAACTTTTCATGGTGGTGCGTTTCCCCACTTAAACTGGATGACGTTGCCGTAGCTGCTGACAGATGTTGTAGTTGACACAGTTTCATGCTAAGTAAAGAGCCAGCGGCAAAACAAACAGCAACAAGTCTGACTGTGACTCATCGTCCCAGGTGAAGATACACCAAAGTATTCAAAATCAGATTTATAATGGAATTGCATACATTTTGGTCATAACTCATAGAAGTACAAAAACAGAGTAAAAATACATATCTGTGGTACATTATATTAATATACAGTCACATGCATACATTCACAAGTGCCAAACCTTAACACTCTAGAAGTGACAATAAGCCACAGTGATCTATTTTTACTGGACATGAAAAAATGAAAAGAAGCCCATCCCCCAACTGTAGTTCACTACATAGCAGTGCTCCTCTCATCCACGCTGGTAGTTTGTGAGTAGACTGATGTAGAAATTCTGTCCTGTGGTATGAAGACCTTGATCAGCTGGCACAGTCTGCAGGGAGATCTGTTTATCATCCGCAACAGGTGCCTCCTGAACTTCTCCCCGACAAACACATACAGGATGGGGTTGAGGCAACTGTGAGAGTAAGCAATGGCCTCTGTGATTTGTAAAGCCAGTCTGACGGCTTTGCTGTGCCCACAATCTAAAAACCGGTGCTTTAGCTCCAGTGCTCGGGCAAGTGACGCAATGTTGTAGGGAATCCAGCAACAGAAGAAAATAGCTACCACTATGACAACAAGGCGGATAGCTTGTTTCTTGGATGACTGGCTGTTCAGTAACCTCCAGATGATCTGTGAGTAGCAGAAACCCAGAATGATGATCGGAATGAGCAGGCCTACAATGTTCATTTTAGCGATGCTGAAGACCTGCCAAAAATGAAGACTGGAACTCACGCCTGGAAATCCAGGATAGCAAGTGTGCTGTCCCGACGCATTTCTTTGCTCTTGGAGGAAGATCAGGTCAGGAAAAGAAGCCAGAAATCCCGCTCCCCATGTAACAGCAGCTGCGATCATTCCAAAGGAGCGTGTACGTGCTCTCATAGCACAAACAGCATGCACTATAGCCAAGTACCGATCAATGCTCATTAGAGTGATAAAAAATATCCCACAGTAAAAGACGATGTGATAAATGCCCAAGACTATTTTGCACATAGCATCCCCAAACACCCACTGGTCCCTGGCTTGGTGGGCTAGGAAGGGCAGGCAACACACCAAAAGGAGGTCAGCAATGGCCAAGTTTAACAAGCACACGTCGGTCATGGTGCGGAGTCGCGCTCCAAAAGTAATGACCCAGAAAACCAGAGAGTTACCCAGAACGCCCAGCAGGAAGAAAATGATGTAGATGGCAGGAAGAAAAGTTGCTCCGTGTCGCGTATATACACATGGTTCAAATTCATCGAACATGGTGGGGTCATAGTAATAGTCAGTAGTATATTCAGAACTATATGCAGAACTATTTTCAGTTGGAGGCGTGCTGAAACTGGAAAGAAACAGAGGCACAAAAACAAATGATTAGATTTACTCATTATGCCTTACTTATTTTCAACAACTTTGTCTATCACAGATTAAAATATGCATCTATATAAAACAACACATTTATAAACAGTTTAACTCAGCAATGATCTGCAGGCTTCAAACTGTGTGGCAGCTCATTTAAACAGTATCGGAAAGCATTTCTTCACTTTCAGGACTGGCACGAGGAACTTTCAAAACCAGTCACTCACATGATCAGCGGTTTTGGTACTATGTCTGACCTTGACCAAAGCTGTTCAAAATGTTGGAAGTCTAAACAGAAACAATTTATATAAAGCAGCGTATTTATCAGAATACTGGGATCAGCAAAATCAAAGCAGGGGATAAAGAAGTTGTTTAGCGGTCAGCTGCTCAGGTAAAAGTTGATTAACAGGAGCACTGAGGAGATTTTCTTCACTTTAAATGCACTGATACATTTAAAGTGAAGCCGCTGAGAACGTGTAAGTTTGTGTGTGATAGTACCGATAGATACTTTCATCTGAGTCATCTGAATAGCAGCACCACAGCTGTGACATTGCACAGCATACAGAATACAATAATTAATTAATAGCAACATTTTAACTAAATGAGAGTATAGTGCAAAACCAACATATACAATGATGAAACTAAGATTACATTTGATAATTTATCGTGTTATGTATTTATTGTAGAAGCTTTAACTTACAAAATAAAACACCTTGAGGCACCTTGCTGAGATTTGGACGTACACAAATAAAAATTAATTTAACTGAATGTAATCAATTTATAATATGGTGTCAGCCAGCCAAGTCCGTCTATCAAAGAGTTTCTCAATGCGTTCATCAGGTTTTGCAACCATCTTAAAATGCCTCCTGACACTCTTAAACGCAGGCAACCGGACACTGTGTGACCACAGTTTTTCAATCTGTAAGTACAATTAACATTTATTTTATGATATATATATAATCTAAAGAATACTCATAACATTCTGTTTATTTAGTTCAGTTGAATTTCAGTCTTACAGCTCAGCAGGAAGTCAAATTTTATTATGAAGTGCTGCGGTTGTAAATAAAATAAGCGGTTAGTGAAGCAGCACGGTTGTTTTGGTGCAGATAAGAACTGTAGCAAAGTAAGAGAGCCACTGCACGAGCTCACGTGGCAGTGAGGTAAGCTTTATCAGGCTTCTTTTTTAAACTTCCTACGAGACAGACCGTCTGTGACTGCTGCTGCTCTGTTGGAAGGAAGGGCAGGGGGCCAGCAACTGTGAAAACAAACAGCTGGCGATTGTTTACAAGCGAGCAAATCACAAGTATTTGGCGACAAATGACGAAGTGCTTGAAGATTTTGAATCCCTCGCAGTTCATGAGAAAGTGACACAAACTGTCCAAACGCAGGCCAACGCTAAAACAATAACTAGGAATGCGTCGCCTGGAAGGAAAAATGAAAGGAAGGTGAAAACCGCGAAGATTCAAAAAGACGGGGGAGTGGATAGTAATGATATTAAAAAGCTTAAAATAGTCTCACGATGAGCAATAAATCAAGAAAATGCCGATAGATGTTTGTTATAACTGATCTTACCCTTGGAAAAGTGAAGATTCAGTAAGATTCAAACTGAAAGTAAAGTCAGTTTCGGTGGTCTCGTCCATGATCAGCTGCTTTAAAAAAGAAAAAGAAAGAAGCCAAAGAACTGAAATCCCGTCCTACCTCCTCAAGTGGCAGGGGTGGGGATACTGTATTTTAACTCTACTGTAAAGGAGTGAAATAAATCTCTAGTTTTCACTCGTTAGCAAAAAATCAGCCCTACTTATATGGTAAAAAAAAAAAAGGATGTAAATTAGTTTTAATCATTAAATTGCATGTAAATGTTCCATGCAATTTTGATACATAACTCAAATGTTAAATCTTAAACTGAGTTAAATCTGGGCAAATTAAATGTGCGTGTAAGTATATGCACACACAGGGACAGGTTCAGCACCAGGCCATGTGAACTGGATGGGCAAGCAGCTTTGATGGGGGGATTTGGCTCAATTCACTTTGCTATTACATGAATTAGAATACAAAATGTGATTGCACTCACACATACCCTGCATAATTGCACCCGTACACGCATGATAATGTCATAGAGGAATGTAGCCACAGATACAAAAGTGGGAAAATACATGTGTTTGAAAGCAGACGCACCGCCACACACAGTGGGAGAGCTGACTGTGAGCACGCATTTATTTTCAACGCAGTTCTGTTTGTTTTGAAGGTTTTGAGTGGGGTTGTGCTTTAAAACTGACCACACATACTGATGAGTGACCTGATTTTAGTTTCAAATATATATGAGGGTTACCTCTCAACGCTGTGCCTCACAGGCATGCTGCTTACCTCGATCGCAGCAGAAGTATTTGTGGTTAACCAAATGTTAATGATTCTATACTGCTGTTAACCTAATAATTAAACCCAGCTTGCAAGCTTATCTGCAAGTTCATTTATCTGTATAAATCAGTGTAACTTATAGTTGACATATATTCACAGAATTCAGCTGAGGGGGGCACAGGGGCTTTATTGGGCCAATTCTTGACGTGAAGTCGTCATAATATAGATCATATTTTTGAATTACATTTATTAGGCAACTTCTTTGTATATGAGTGGATCTGCAAAAATATAAGTAACAAAAGTGTTCAAAGAAATGGGATAAATTAGAAGGCCCATTATGGTGCAGAAGTGGAAATAAACATCACATGAATAATCCGATAAAGTAAGATATCCAAAGTGGAGATGATTGGCCATGAAGCCAAACATGCTCTACGTTCAGTGAAAACCAAGCACAGCATGTCAGTACAAAAACCACATACCAAGTGTCAAACACGATGGTGAGGAAAGGCGAGGATATATATATAGGGGTTTTTTGCAGCCACAGGATCTGTGCACCTTGCAATCATTAAGTCAACCATGCTCTCTTGTGTATACCAAAATACTCTAGTCAAATGTCAAATGCCACCTGTCTGACAGCTTAAGCCTGACCCAGTTTGATCAATGATGACAGTGACAGTGATCCCTAACACAAAAGAATGGCTGAAAAAGAAGACGATCAAGTCCAGACTTTAGGCCGATTGAAATCCTGTGGCTGGCCCTTGAGAGGTGTGCATGAACAAATTCCTGAATATCACAATGAATTGAAGCGAGGTTGTACAGAGGAGTGGGGAAAAACACTACACGTCTATAGCTAGCCAACTCAAATCTGCTCCGTGCGCAATCGGAACTAATTTGAGAACTGATTGCTGTTAATTTTGGGATTATTTTACCAATCGATCTAATGCTCTTTAATCTTTAACTGCTTCATTATGAAATAATATGAAACTTTGTGACTGGTTACATGTTTTATAAAGTGCTATATAAATAAGTTTTACATACTTGCAACATTTTTTAAAGATCTCACTGCTTCTAGTTGCTGATGACTTACATGCTTGTGGTCATTCCATGTATTGAGGGGAGGGTGACCCACATTTGCTCCTGCTATGGTTTGTGGCAACAGATTTCTTTTGTATGCCCTTTTAACTTCATAGCACTTTTGGTTTATTACATTTCACACAGGTGGATTAGAATCAGTGCGCTGCATCAGTCTGTGGTAGGCTTCCCCAGCAGTGGTTTTGTCATCTCTTCCTTCTACCTCTCCACTTTTGATTCAAATTTTGGTAAATTTAATCTAATAAAGGATCTGTTACAGCAGCACACTGACTGTTGTAGCTTCTTCAGTGATGTGCCTATAACACATTTTCAGCAGCTGCATGCAAAAAACAAAATACTACAAATAAATAAATCTATGAAAAGTAATGTTAGAGGAGAATATCCCCCTAAAGTTGATTATGTCATGATTACTATCAGAACCTGAGTTGGCATAGGATTTGTATACATCAGTCAGCAGTAAGTATCGGCAGCTTGTTTACACAATATTATAATGCTGATAATAATAATAGTAATAATAATAATAGCTTAGCTTTATTTGATATCTTTCATGGAACTCAAGATCACTTTAAACATTAAAGTATTAAAAAAGGAAGCCAAATAAGATATAGACTATAAAGTAAAAATCCTGGCCACAGAAGAAGACATCTCCATTGTAAGTGGTTTATTTACTTAAGACTGAAAAAATAACTGTCTTGAATTGTGAGGACTTTGCAGTTAGTGCGCTGCACTGTATTTAAAATGCTTTGTGATTAGCGTCAGTCTAATTGACGATTGATGATAGCTACTACTGTTTTTCAAGAATTAAGATAAGTTTTTTTTAACACGTTCCATTAATTTAAAAAAACACACACACAAAAAGACAAATAAACAAAACAAGGCAAAAAAAAAAAAACTACTTGGATAACTTGGATATTATCAAAGCATATTGCATTTTATATTCAAAAGTGTTACGAATGAGATGAGGTGTAATTTCCTCTCCCACTGACCTAAATTTAACACATGCAAAAGAGAAAATGCCCTGTCACTGTCAGCAGATAGACAGATACAGAAAATGCACCTTGGTGCTTGTCTCTATTATCACTTACAAAAAGAAAAAAAGAAAAAAAAGGCAGCATTACTGTCATTAATTAAATAATGCATAGATAACACATTCCTCACTGTGCCCCAGTTCACTATTCTTCACTCAGATTGCCCTGTGCCACAACAGGTAAAAGATGAACTGATAAAGATCTTGCGTCTAAGATATGGATCAATGAGCTAAATCCAAAACATTTTGAGCATTATAATTGAACTTTTAATGAGAAATGACAGTCATTACACTGACCTTCCTCTTTTTGCTTTATACTTTTGTCCATTTAGTTATGATTATAGATGCTTTCCATTAAAGAAAAAAAACATTTCAATTGTTACAGGCTGAAGATAAATAAGTGTGCGTCATTGTTTTCTTCCCACTTGCAGAACTGTAAAGGCGTGCAGCAATACTGCTGACATGTTAGCCTGAATCATTCTGCATATAAAGTGGGAAAAATATTTTTACCTTTCCATGGTGCTGATGGTGGAATTCATTGTGGATCGCAGGATAGAGAGATGGCTTGTCTAATCAAACAAGTTATCCACTTTGCATTAAGATGTGTGAAGTGAGAAATGGTTTGCACACACATGAAAAAAAATTGAAGGTGTTGCTTTTTTTTTTAAAAGTACAACCTTCCTCAAAACCAAGTTAACTGGGTGGGCTTGCGGGTTCCGATGTGAGATGTATGGTTTAATAGTTTCCTGAGACTGTTTTCGAAACACGCAGTGCAAAAGCCCACAGTCTGTGCAGCTATAGAACCACAAGTCCATATATGCAAACTTTTAAATATGCAAGGTGACTCTGACCAGACCTGCAGGCGCACACAGCTGGAGGCTTGCATGTGGGTTTTTTGTTTTTTTTGCCTGACAGAAGTGATACTACCGCCACAGCCAGCAGTGCACCCTGTACAGACAATGGTTTCAGAATAGCATCGTGTCTGCTAAATGCATTTCTTTCTTTGAGTTAGGGGTAGACTTCTGACTAAAATTTAAAGAGGAAACCTTCTGTGTGACTTGTGTGTTTACCAGATCTTAATATTGTTGTGCATCATTTAAATTCACCTCGTAGGCCCCAACAATGCCTTGTGTTACTCAGACATGTTGTTGTTAGATGACACATGAACTCAGATCTGAACACTTCTTTTCAAATAATAATAACCTTCTGACAGGAATTACAGCAGTGAAAGTGGTTTTGCCACTTCCATCATAAAGGGCTGCTATGCGTCTATCTTACCCTGCAAAAACACACTGTTGGTAACACCCTTTAACACACTTCAGAGACTTTTTTCCTCTTACTGTAAAAGGAAAGAAGAATGACGAAAGGGTTTTTTTTGTTCAATAATTTTATTTTTTCAAAAATAAGATTGTGTTACAAACTGTGAATAAACACGACATTTATGTTTTGATGCATGTGTTTTGTTTTAAGCAGTTTCAAAACTGAATGCTTGTAACTGCAAATTGGTTTTGAGAATTGTTTTACACCACTCAGAAGTACTAACCACAGACATGCGTTCACACACACGTGCGCTCACACACACACACACACACACACACACACACACACACACACACACACACACACACACACAC